ACAGCTTGCTGTTCATGGAGACGTCAGCGAAGACAGCGATGAATGTGAATGAAATCTTCATGGCAATAGGTATGGCCTGTGTGTAGGGCTGGGGTAGCCCTGAGTGCCAGCACTGCAGCCCAGGAGGGTCCTGTGTCAGCCAGGGCTGCTGGCTCTTACTGGGGCACTTTGCCACACTGGTGTGATTGATCATTCCCTGAGTGTGTGGAGCCTTAGCCTTGCAAAGGTTCCCAGTGTCTGGGGTGGTGATGGAGGTGTGATGCCAGGCAGAGCCGAGGAAGGGGGGGTTTGGCATGCTGTGCAAACTGCAGGTTTGTCCTGTCCCAAACTGTTGGCTGTGAGGGCTCAGGCTGGAGCAGGCTGCACCCAGCACGAGGAGGTTGATCTCTCTGGAGCACCCTGCTAACATCCCGTTTCTTCCTAGCCAAGAAACTGCCAAAAAATGAACCCCAGAACGCTCCTGGTGGCCCGGGCAGGAATCGGGTGGTGGACCTTCAGGAGAGCAGCCAGCCAAGCAGAAGCCAGTGCTGCAGCAACTGAGCAGCTGCTGCAGCCTGCGAGCCCGTGGAGGAGTGACTGGAACCCACGCTAACGATCGCACTTACCGTAGGGCGGCTGCTGCCGGCGCCGCTGTGATTCTCCATCCCTTTCTGATCATAGGCTGGAGGGAGTTCTTCCACCTGCACCTTTCTGTACAAATACTAATTCAATTCTAAGTCTTAAGTCACTTTTTTAATATATGAACTTCTGCTCTTCCCTCTTCCTGGTGGTGGTGGATGCAGGACCTGGTGTCTGCCCAGCCAGCGTGGCCGTCCCGCAGGTGAGGCCAGCAGCAGCCAGGTCCCACAGCACTGTAGTTCACTATGGGAAACAAAGGGATATTGGGACACGTGTTTAAAGTTCCCTGTCTGTAAGAGCTGAGGCTGATCCCCTACGATGTGCCCAGAACAACCACTAAACTCTGTAGCATTAGAGACAAACTCCGGCTCTTGGGCCACTTATTGACCAAATCAATGATGAGTATTTGGGGTGGGGCAGAGGGAAGCAAAACTGGTTTCTTCTGTATTTTGTATTGTATGTTTCTCCATGTAACCAATCAGTATCTTGTCAATATAGTACATCCAACGAGCTGCCTGTTGTCTTTCTTTGTGTTGGACTCCAGCATGCCAACTCTTCTTTTCTCTCGGTTCTGTCGTAATGCACTAATCCTGTTGCAATTTTGCAAAAAATCTTGTATAGAAATTTGTCCTTTTCTTGATGGTTGTGATGCCACTAATATTGTTAACCCTGCTCTGGTGGGAATACACAAGGTTTACTGATGTACAGAGGTGGGGTGGGGGAAACCTTGGTAACCTGTTGGTGGGAATGACATGTATTGCAAAAGCCTGTAATTCCACAAAGAATGAAGGGAGGTATTAAATGGCTTCTGTTGCCAGACTCTAACTGATGTTGGCTGCTGCCTAGTGCCTAATGCAGTGTCTTATGCATCCTGGTATTTAAGAGGAACTGTTGACTTAGTCTTCATCACAAACTTCAGTTTTGTGTGATTAAAACAGAATTTTTATAAACCTATCATAACAACAATGTTCATGTTTCTTAATGCAGCAGGGACTGGACCTGAGCACAACAGTTCTTGGTGGAAGCTGAGCTGTGCTGGGCTGCTCCTGGTATGTCCCACACCTTGGTAGGGAAATGGGGCCCTTCCTTCCTGAGGAGGGAGAAACGAGCTCCTGAGCTTGGCTGTGTGGCTGCTCCTGCACACAGTGGTGCTGCTGGTGTTCACTTGGCTCCAGTGTGCTCAAGGAAGCTTGAGGGAAATCGTGGGAATTATTCCTTGCTTGATGCTTCTGGGGAAGTCCTACAGTGCAAGATGGGAAGGGGGGGGAGTAGTGTGTGGAGGAGCTGTGCTCTGCAGTGGGACAGGCTTGGGACGGTGCTCCAGAATTCATGAGCACAGAGCCTCTGTCCCTGGAGCACGATGGCTTGGAAGATGCTGCTCTCCTGTCACTGCTGCATGGACTGTGAGACCCCAGCACCCTGGGACCTGGAATCAGTATGGAAGAAGGAGCAGCCCCTTGCAGCTCCATCCCTCCACCTGTGCTGCCAGCAGCACCATTTGTGCTCAGGAGAGGCTGAGGATGGAGATGTGCTGCATTTGGAACCCATTGCCCCTCTCAGCTGTGGGGCTGCTGGAGGCTCAGTCACAGAGCCTGTGAGTAGTGGTGTGAACAGCCTTGGCTGGTGTGCCTTCATCTGCCATCCAAGGTCTCAGTGCCTCTTCCTCATGCTGGATTTCCTTAAAATCCTGGAAGCAGGAAGGGTCTGGGGTGATTTGGTGATGGAGTGCCTGGGATCATGCTGGGCTGCTGTGGGGTGTGGGCTTTGGTGGCCCCCAGTGCACCTCCTTTGTGTGGTGCTGTTGGTGCCTGGACTGCTGAGGTGCTCTGTGGGACCACCCAGTGCTTACTGTGTGGGGTGCACTGATGCTGCTGGTTTCCCCAGGCAGCCAGAGATGCACCAGTCTGGAGAGGAGCTTCCCTGATCCCACTCAGAACAATTCAGTGGACACTGTGTGCAGTGCTGTTGCCATCTGCTGGCTCCTCTTGCTGAGCGCCTGGTTTCTTCCTAGACTTTGGGGTCTCTGTGAAGGCATCTGTGATACCCTAAAGAGGGTCTTGCAGCTTGCAAGAGGTGCTCAGGGGCTCAGTAGCGAGGCTGGGGACCTGCTGGTGTGTCTGGGCCATGGGCTGTCTGATCTCAGGGTGGCTTTAGCACAAACAGGCGTTGCTGCCTGCATACCTGCAGCCTGCCCACACAGCTGCTGCCTGCCCAGGCCTGAGCCTGGCTGTTTGTGGTGGTTACACACCGCGCCTGGGGTTGGGCTTTTCCCTCCCTGCTGCTGGCAGCTCAGGGTGGACTCCAAGAGCCCCTTGCCAAGCTGGGAAGGGGAAAGTGTGGCTACGACAGCCTCACACCACACCCAGCCAGGCAGCCTGATGTGGCTCTTTCCCTATTGTTTGGGGATGGGTATTGGCTGAGCTTGTGGAGCTGGAGATGACGCTGGCAGCAGTGTGAGGAAAAGGTGAGGGTACCCCTGCTGCTCCTGGACAGGTGAGTGGGACTGCCCTTCCTGCCTGCCTCCCTCCCTTGGCAGCACAGTGCTCCCAGATCCCCTCCCTCACAGAACCCCCTGAGTCTGCTGTCTGACCCCATTTTGTGGTGCCCTGACAAGCAGGAGAGGCTCTTCCCTCTCTGTCCCATTCCTCTGGCACCAAGAGCAGGGCGCAGCCTCCCCATCAGCCAACACCCAGAGAACACAAAAGATTCAATGCAAAAGGATTATTTATTGGATACAAAATCATTCCAGTCTAGTGAAAAAAGTGACATCATTGCTGATGGAGCTTGTCTGGGCTAAAACCCGAGACTTGCTCCTGTCTGCTCCGGTCCTGCCGTGGCCATCGGGTCCCATCCTCTCACACCTGGGCTTTGTTGGTGGCTCCGTCCTGAGCAGCTGGTCCGGTCTGTGGGGCAGCAGGGCTGACCTGGATGGGCACGCTCCTCTCGGGAGCAGCTGGCAGTGCCAGCTTGGGGGCCTCGATGTGGAGCTGCCCATCCTTGGACAGGGAGCAGGTCAGCGCTTCGGCGTCCACCTCCTCGGGCACGTCCCACTCGCGCTTCAGCACCTCGTACTTGTAGGAGAAGGAGCCCTTCTCGTCCGTGCTCTGCGTCTCCTTCTGCCCCACCAGCACCACCTTCCTGCCCACCACCTTCACCGACAGCTCCTCGGGAGCGAAGTTCTTCACGTCCTGGCAGACGGAGAAGCCGTCCCCAGAGCCCTGGGTCAGGGTCATGCTGGTGCTCGGGCTGTGCTCCATGGCCATGGCTCCGTGGTTGCTCAGGAGCTGCTCGAAGCTGCTCATGAACTCCCGAGCCTTCTCCATCTCCTGCTGCAGCTCGGTGAAGATGGTCTCTGCGTGCGGCCAGAGGGTCCTCACTGTGCCCAGCCGGCTGGCCAGGGCGCTGGAGGCGAATGGTGCGAGGTGCATCCGGCAAAGCATCGCTGCTGCTGTGGCTGCTGCTGCTGCTGCTGCTGCTGCTGTCCCGTTCCAGTGGGCTGGAAGCGTTCTGCCCGGCTGCTGCCGCCCGCAGGTTTTTATACCCGTGCCCGGGAGGCGTGGCCTTGTCCTGCACATCACGTCACCCTCCGGAGAAAAGCTCAGCTCTTTCCAGCCCGTTCCAGCTCATTCTTGTTACTCACCCGCGAGGAGAGGCACGGCTGACGTCGTGCCCGGCATACCTTCGCCCTGACTCTCACGGCTTTGCGCTCCTGGCTTATAATTAGCAGCATCACCTCAGCCTCCGAGCGGGATGCCTGAGCCACCCTTGCCAAAAATCTGTGCCCTTTGCGTTTCCCAGGCAGGGAGTGAGTCCGGGCTTGTCTCCTCCCTGCCTCTCCCCACCCTCCCCTGTGTCCCATTTCCCCCCACCTGTGCCCAGGTAGGTCCCCTCGGGTGGGACCAGGAGTCAGTTTGTGTCCCCACGCCCAGGTGGGGTGTGCAGTGGGGTGCTGAGGGATCAGGACAGGATGGGGGCAGCAGGGAGAGGGATCCCAGAAAGTGAAAGAAGTGCCTGGCAGCAGGTGACACGGGACATGCTTCAGAGGTGGGACCGGCTCCTGCACTGGCAGGAGTGATGAGCTCCCGGCACAGCGGAGCCTGCCTCCACCGAGCCCCGGGCAGGGGGGCAGGAAAGGGCTCTGTACCCCCCGGCCATGGCCCCACGGGCCCTGCTGCATCACGGTGGCTCTGCAGAAACCCGAGCTGCCGGCACTGACTGCGGCTCCCTATTTGTGGCGTGTGAGCTGTCCCCAGAAACAGGCGCTGCTATTTTGGCCGGTGGATAATCAGCCTCTCAAAAATAGGCGATGGCTCCAGGAGGCTGCGTGGGGGGAGAGCATTCTGGAAGGTACACACCCCTGGGCAGGGGAGAATAAAACCCGCTGCTCCCCTGCCCCAGCCCAGCACGGCTCCAGCCCCAGCCCCGAGCAGCAGCACAGCCAGGAGCGCTCCTGGGAGCAGAGATGCTTTGCCGCCTGCACTTCATGCCGCCCATGCCCAGCTCGCTGTTCCCGTGGCTGGGACCCGTCCGCACGCTCTGGCCCCATCCAGGCACCCTGTTCGCCGAGCTGGAGCGGGAGATGCGGCTGGAGATGGAGCGGGCTCGGGAGTTCATGAGCAGCGTGGAGCAGTACCTGAGCAGCGGGAGCGGCCCCGGCCGGCTCGGCATCGCCCCCAGCCCCAGCGCAGCGCTGACCCCGGGCTCTGCGGACGGCTTCTCCGTCTGCCAGGACGTGAAGAACTTCGCTCCCGAGGAGCTGTCGGTGAAGGTGGTGGGCAGGAAGGTGGTGCTGGTGGGGCAGAAGGAGACGCAGAGCACGGACGAGAAGGGCTCCTTCTCCTACAAGTACGAGGTGCTGAAGCGCGAGTGGGACGTGCCCGAGGAGGTGGACGCCGAAGCGCTGACCTGCTCCCTGTCCAAGGATGGGCAGCTCCGCATCGAGGCCCCCAAGCTGGCCCTGCCGGCCGCTCCCGAGAGGAATGTGCCCATCCAGATGGGCCCGGCGGTGGCACAGCCGGCTGGCAGCGCTGAGGAGGGAGCCGAGCGGGCCAAGGCGTGAGGAGGAGCGGCGGGGGCCAGGCTGAGCCTGGCGATGGGGGCAGCTGCTGGCCGCAGAGCGGGACCGCGCCATGGCCCGGGGCGGGCTGTCTGCCCGAAACGTGGCTTTTTTTGATATGTAATAAATATTCCTGACTTTTATTCGTGTGGTTTCGGTGTTTCTGGTCGTGCCCGGCCCTGCAAGCTTGCAGTGCTTCTGCAGGGTGGGGAGCGGGGCTGTGCTGGCTCCGGGCATGTCCCTGGCACCTCTGCCCAGCCCTGCCCTGGCAGAGCAGGACGGGCGGGGGGCTCCAGGCCATGTGCAGCACTGAGAATCCCCGGCGGGTCCCGAGCATCCCCGGGGCAGCCTTCGCACAAGCGACTCCCGTCTCCGGGATGGTGCTGGAACATTCCCGTGCGGTGATGGAACACTCCCACGCCGCCAGCTCTGGCACCTTCCAGGCGGTGCCCGGCGCTAATCCGCTTCCCCCGCGCTGACAGGGGGCGCGGTCTCTCCGGAGCGGCCCGGCGGGCGGAGCTCCCCGCCGGTACCGGGCGGAGCTCCCCGCCGGCCGCTCGGTCGCGCCCCGTGCCGCTGCGAGAAGGCGGAGAGCGGCTCACACACCGCGTTTGGAGAAGAGGGCGTGGCCATGCTCCATATTTACCGGAGTCAGCGGAGTGCGGAGCGGTACCGGTTACCGGAGGGGTACAAGGGCTCCTCCGCGTACCGGCGGCTCGCCACCGCCCCGTGAGGGGCTGTCGCGGGTGCATCATCATGGCAGGACCTCGGTCCTGTCTGGACGGTGCACGCCGCCCGCAGTGCCGGGGGGGCGCTGCGCTCCCGTTCGGGGCAGCGGCGGACGCGCACCGGCCCCGGGAGCGCCGTCCCGCCATGGCGGCCCCGCCTCCCCCGCGGACTACAGCTCCCGGCATGCCCGGCGCGCAGGCGCAGTGGGCGCGGGGCG